TTTTAGAGGTGAGGGTCTTATGCCAACGCATTTCCAATTCTCGAAATAGTTCTTAAAGTCAATTTCCAGAATAGCTCTTGATGCTCGTAGAATTTCAAGTAATACTCCAATAGTATTCGCTGTTGACAGTTTGGCCGGGCGGAAACATCTCGTTAATCAAAAAAAAACTGAACTCGTTAATCCTTATTCGTGTTCCCGACCCTTTTTGAATATTTTGAACTAATCAAAAACGGGACAGACAATTATCACCTAATGCGTTTTCCTCCATTTTAAAGGTTGCGGCACCAGAATGCACTTTATGTACTTCAGAAAGGCAAGCGTATTCTAAACACGAATGATTATTTTGATGTGAAATTTTGCAGTCATACCAACCTAAAAATAAATATTTCAACGAATGGGGTTTCACGCGAAAATTAAATTACAAAGTCTTACTATTTTTTGCCCACAGTATGCAATGAGCGACACCAAAAGAGATTTTGTTGATAATAAGAGGGCAAAGAGTCTGTGTGTGAACGCTGTTTTAGTTAGCACTGGTTGCTATTGTTTGTCAGCGGAGCGGGGCTTGTGATAACACTAAAGGTCACTAGATTATCGTTTGTGGTGTAGCAACTAACACTATCGCTATAGTGAGTGCGTGCGAATTACAAGAGATTTGCGCAAAGCTATTTATATATGTAAATATGTATACATTTGTATTCAAAAATGAGGTGACTAATATTAGCATCGCATTATTGTATGTTTTGCTGCAAACGAACATTTGTGTATATTTTATCAACTTGTATACATATTTATGCTACTTACTGCATACATATATTTACTAACATTTTTTTTGCTTATTTCTTTTTATAAATATTTTCACTTTATTGATTTTAAATTTTTCTTTTCTTATCACAACGCAAATTGAGTGAGAATTGGGTGAAGACGAGGTGCCGTGTAAAATGGGCATTGTAGTGACATGAGTAAAAAAATAAACAAGTGCGATTTTTAGTGAAATAGTGAAGTGTAAAATAAGCTAATAGAACAGTATCATTAGACATTGAAATTATTTTGAACAAGTACGAACATTAAGATGCTATTTTTAGCATCACTCATTAACTCGATTTCTACAAAATAGCTTGTCTTTATGCAATGGCATGATTGTACTTGTAATGAGATATGTCGAATTCCTTATCATATCAGTTCGACACGCTTGATTTCTCACATTCTATATGCATATATATATATATATATATATATATATATCTATATGTATGGAGTCGTAATTACATACCGCTAGTAATTAACATTAACACTTGAATTAGTTAATTTTGACATTAATTAAACGCGTTTTAAATATTCAACAAATTAGCATTGCTTCATTGATTCACCGAGTGTGAAAAAGCATGGCAATAAAAATGTATATCTTCAGGTATTTGTGTAACACAAATATACTTAATTAATGTTAATTAGCGACATCACTTATAGAAAGTCGTGTGAATTGTGTGTATTGCCTGATTGTTCAAATAAAATTCAATAATTTCAAAGCTAAAAAAGTGTTGCACAAAATGTCTATAAAACTGGAAATTATTTTCAGTGTAATGGCGAATTCTTTTAGAATTAGTTGCAGGCACTTCTTTTTCAGGAATCAAAAGGAAATTTTATTTACAAAAATAATTAGGTTGAAAGTTTGGTAGATAGATAAATTTTAAGATCATATTTGCATTGTTATATGAAATCTTACTTGCGAATTTAAAAATACTTTCAGGTTAAAATAACCTAGCACCAATTTCATTGCACCCCATAAATTATATATGTAAATAAATAGTAATATATTAGTATTATTTAATATTGATATCATGGCCTCAAAACCCGCGCCGTTAGTTCTGCTTTCTCCAGACTGGACAAGGAAACAAAGCAAATGTGTCTGGCAGTGCACGAGAGAAAGACGAAATATCTCCGGTCATCAAACAAACAGTCGTCGCACTCGCAACTTGGCTCTCACGTCACTGTTGACAGTCATAACTTTGAAGTCGTAGATAATTTCGTCTATCTTGGAACYAGCGTAAACACCACCAACAATATCAGCATGGAAATCCAACACAGGATAACTCTTGCCAACAGGTGCGAAGTAAAGTCCTCTCTCGACGAACAAAAACCAAACTCTATAAGTCACTAATCCGGTCTCTGGTCCTTTGCGTATTCGCCACGGCGAATATCGTATTCGATGGAACGAAGAGCTGTATGAGATATATGACGACATTGACATAGTTCAGCGAATTAAAAGACAGCGGCTACGCTGGCTAGGTCATGTTGTCCGAATGGACGAAAACACTCCAGCTTTGAAAGTATTCGACGCAGTACCCGCCGGGGGAAGCAGAGGAAGAGGAAGACCTCCACTCAAGGCCTAAATCGAAGCGGGATTGTCCGCATAGACTTTAGGCTTTACATATCACCACAGGAAAAAGTCTAACTGTGTGACATCGCACGATCTTGGTGGCCAATCGACCGACCCAAAATTATCTGCTCACCGAAGTGTTCCCTCTATGAATCTACTAATTGGTGCGATGTGTTTCAAGTAGCGCGGTCTTGTTGACACCAAAAGTCCCAGAGATCACCGATTATTTCACCGACCCAGAATTACAACAAAACGTTGTTTATTCTGGAAATGGCAGCTCTTGAATCTCTTCAGGTTGCTCTTCGTCCCGAATTCCGCAATCTCGGTTGGTCAAAAATAAACCTCATAGCCGAACAAAATTTGGCTCGAACACGTTAGATCTTCTGAAAACTTTCCAAGAGCCCATAGAGCGAAGCGATGTTTTTTGAGAAGGTCGGGCTGCTTCAGTTCTTGCACAAGCTGTATTTTGTACGCTTTCAATTTAAGATCTCGGCGTAAAATGCGCCAAGTCGTTCCATACGTTAGTCCGAGATTCTGCCAATATTCTTCTTGCACACTCTTCGCAACTAGTCTATTTTCTTCACTGCGTGCTGGACATGGTCTACAAGTATTCGATTGAATATTATTCAATAATGAACGCTGGGTATCAATGTGGATGATGGTGTTCCTAATAGTACGCTCAGTAGCCCTATTATGTTGACCATGAGTAAAGCGAAGCGCGCGAAACACATTCTTTACAGAACTTGAATTTTCATAAGAAAGTTGAACAATTTGTAAACGTTCGGACGTAAGTCTTTCCATGATGAAATGCCAAGCAATGCTAATCAAAAATAACATGACAGCTTGTCACGACTCACATGTGATCTGTCCAAAAACCTATTGAAAAAGATATCTCTTATTGTAACACCCGTTACATATGTACATATATATAACTGGTCCCCGACCGACCGTTCGTTCGTTCGCCGACCGGTCTGTATATACGCAAACTAGTCCCTTAGTTTTAGAGATACCAATTTGACATTTTGCTTACTTCCTTTTCACTTCAAGAAGTTGCACATTTATCGGAACTGGCGCTATAGGACCATTAGATCATATAGCTGCCATACAAACTGAACGATCGATATCAAGTTCTTGTATAGAAAACTTTTTCTTTTGACGAGATGACTTCGGAAACCTTGACATGCAATATTGTCCAAGGTAATAGTGTAATCTCAAACTAAATGATCGGAGTTAGGTTCCTCTAAGAAATCATTGCTATTTGTAAAGGGTATTGTAACTTCGAAGCAACCAAATTTAAATTTTTTTAAATGATTATTATTTAAACAATAATTAGTAAATGAGCCGGAAATCTTGGGGTTCTAGAGTCCTCCTATAAATTTAACTCAGCCATTTCAGGCACTATGCCCAAACCGCATTCCCATCACTAACTTGATTAATATTAATTTTTACCGGCAATAAACAGCATTTAGCACTTGCTATTTGCTGCAAATATTATTTAAATAAACGTTAATATTCATGTATGTATTTGTTGTTGTTATTCACACGTTGAGGTAAGCACTGTTCATATTAAGTCTGATTCCTATATGTTGATGAGATATAAACTTGTTTAGTATTGAAATCGGTGTAAATGAACTTGAACGAATTGTTTAACAATTTTTTTTAGAATTTTTTGCATTTTATTTTTTTCTAAGTGATTTTTCGATTACTCACAGAATACCCGTAAAAAAATAAATAATTATTTAACAAAGAAAAAGAGAAAAATATCCAGCGCGTTCACCTGCTGGTGTAGCTTTGAGTGTAAACATGCCTAAAGTTGCTGCGGTTTAAAGATCACTGATCGTTTTATTAGTGAACCGAATTATGATTTGGCTATGTGGCTGAAGAGAGCGGTAATTAGCACTCTTTCATCACTAGTTAATTGTTTATTTTCATGATTCATAGAGAACGTTTAATCAATAACTTTTATACAACATATATTTTAGAAGCAGAATTTAAACAGAAATCCAAAACAGAACCACTGATCTTTGAACTATGTATGTATATACGTAAATATGTACTTGTATATGAATAATCTATTTCTCAGATATTAATTCTCACGCTTTCAATTCACTGATTTTCACTACGGCTCAGCTTAATAGCTTAACGAAACATTAATTTTATTTTTCTTCTTATTTTTTTGTTTATAGATTTCTAGTGATCGCTGCTCAAGATCGCAGTACATTTCGCAATGATTTCACTTATTCCCTGCGTACACTCATTCACACATATACGAGCGTTAGTTTTTTGAAACAATTGCGCTAATTTAACACTAAAAACGTGTCAGAATTGAACCGTACCATACAAATGTGCTCGATCCACTGAAATGCGAATATAATGGCTAACAATGCGAATGAAATTGTTAAACTTAATAGTAACAGCACAAACACAAAAAAAAAAAAAAAAAATTAAGTAAAACTGGGCAGCACTCCTTTCGAATAGGAGAGAATGGGAGTAGCTTGCGCTGACTCAAAAAAGAAAAACAAAAAACAGTATCCAACAAAACAAAAACGTAAAAAGTTACTAACCGAAATGTAAACCAATGGGAAAAAGTAAATAAAAAATATTTATTAAGCTGATAACCTGGACTATACATATATATAAATATATGTATAAGTATATATATTGTTGCCATATGCAATATCTTGCAGACGTTGCAAAAAATGTCGCAATGATCGGCGAAAACACATACTGACGTTTAACAACGTTACTGCAAAAAACTTTAGAAATGAGGTGTCACTGTGACCATCGGTACAATGAAAACCGATAAGCCAAGCAAATTGGCATCCATTCATATACATAAGCGCCCAGCAGTAACCAGTTCGATAACCAGTTCGCTAACCAGTTCACTAACCAGTCTGCTAACCAATTTGCCAACCACTTCACGAACCAATCAAGCGCATGCTGCTGCAGAAGTAAGTTACATTACACATTCTGTTAGAATTCACCGTATTTAATTACACTGTACGCAAACAATAATGAATTTGTTTATTCTAGATATTGCAAATACACAAAAACACATATACACACACGCACATAATTTGCTGTGTTGCAAGGTGGCAGCTCAATTATCAAGCAACAAAAAAATCATAAATAAAACAAACTATTCTACTGAAAGTACACACATAGCAAATAACGAGGCGACCAAACGTCATTGGAGCGCACTAAAAAGTACACAAAAACACGGACCGAGGTAAGTGTTTAAAATTTCACTTGCCAAAAAAAAAAAAATAAAAAAAAAATACAAGTGCAATTGCATTTCAAGCGCCATTGAAAGGTGAAAGGCTTTCATAAACAATTTCTTGTTGGTTCGAAGAACGCTACTGTAAACAGCTTGTCACTGCCCGGCTACACAAATACATATGTGGTACGCTCGCGAAATTGTCGCTTTACCAGAGGATCCATTAACCTCAAAATGTTGTTGTGGGCGACTGGCGTGTGTAGCCGGTGTAAATATTTGCGTTATTCGTATGAAATTTTTTATTTTAGCAAAAGGAAGAAAATACCTATGTTTGTAAGACGTCATTATTTGCTATATGCATTTTAATATTATATTATTCTGCGACACTTTCGTTTTTTAAATCTTGCAATTACTATATTACTTTATGGGGCACAACTTAGTAGTGTGAAATATTCTACTAAAATCGACATCTCAAACAGTTCTTGAGTTATAGCTTTCTAAAGTGTAGCCGTTTAGTTCTATCAGCGGCTTTGTGTGACTTTAAACGCATTTTTCACAAAACTGAACTTTTCAAAATTGCACTATTAAAATTCTGCATCATCAGTTTTTTGATCTGATCGAAAATTGAAACATTAGAAGCCCACAGTGACCAAGATTTTTTATAAAACCAACTTTTTTAAATTTTCGTAAATTTTTGATTTTCTTGTTGTATATTATTGTACGGGCAATATCTTTTAGTCGATAGTTTTTTTCCACAGACGATAGGTCATTGTACGAATCTTATTTTCTAGTAGAGAATTTTTTTTGGTATCATCCACGTAAAAAGGCGGAATAACTGCTGCAGTGGATAACGTTTTTAGCGTCATCAGATTTTTCAAAAAATTTTTCTGTGTATTCTAAAGACAATATAAGGTAACCGAAAAAGTCTTTTCGTATTTCTAATCAAACTTTAACTTATTTAATTTTATATTTATAATGGACTTTACTGATCCAAATATGTACCATTTTGGTCGACCACTTTTTGACATTTTTCCGCTAGAGACATTATTCAGGCTTCTCTTGAAGCCAATTTTACTCCATTGAGATAGTTCTGCATTCACCTAAACAAATGACAGTCCGATGGTGTAAGGTAAAGACGGTATGGTGGATGCATCAAAACTTCCCAGGCAAGCTCTAACTGTTTTTGCGGAGCCACCAAAGATGTCGGTGGTCTATTGTTGCCCTGATGAAAGATAAAGCTCTATCGTTGATCAGTTTTTACCGCTTTTTTCGATTGCTTGCTTCAATCTCATCAGTTGTTAAAAGTAAAATGTGGAATCAATCGATCGACCACACTGGAACAGCTCATAGCGGATAATTTCTTTCCAACCCAACCAAACACTCAGCATATCCTTTCGAGACGTCAATTCTGACTTTGTCTTTCTTTGACTTTGTTGAGTACCATGATCTTTTTCGTATTTCATCCACTTTTCCTCTCATGTAACCATTCGCTTCAGAAATAACTCGATTTCATTTCGTTTGAGTAAAGAATCGCAGATGTTAATTCGGTCCATTAATTTTTTCACATATAATTCATGTGATAAACAAACATCGAGCTTCTTTTTTAGCCAGTCTTTTTTAAATGGTCCAAAACCATTAAGTTAAGTTCCTTAACTTCACAAATTTCATTGGTGGCTTGCGTGGCATTATTTCCTTTTTTATACTAAAATGTCAAAATTTCTTCATTATTTTCACTCATTTTTGAACAGCTGTAACTTTTTTCAACTTCCCCGAATTTAATGTTTTTTGGTTAAATGAAGCTTAAAATCACACCATTCCAACACTATATGACATGACACAATGTGTTTGGTGGCATTGGAGATATACGACTGCAACGACATCTATTGGCAAAATAGGAAAGGACCTTTTCGACAACCCAATATGTATGTACTTGAAACCATTAAAACAATTGCAAAAGTATTTTTTTCTAATTCTCAAAAATCGCATTTTTTTAAACCGTCACGGTTGGATCTGCTCATCAAATCCTCTAAAGAAGTTCAATTGGTGCCTAAGGGTAATATCTACTTCTTAAAGTTACTTAGAGTAAACTAAAATGTAAAGTCAAATGAATTTTGTGACCTGTGACTGGCCAAATCTATGAAATATAAATTTGTAACCGAATTTGTGAAAAACGAACGTTCTCTCAGATGGTTCTGAAGTACTATAGCTAACATAAATATGTATGTATGTCTCAACTCAAGCAGTCTAACAATTTTTACTATAGAAAAAAATTAGTTTCACAAAGTTATGCTCTCATTAAGGTTACGGAGTCGATATCCTTGAAAATTTACTTTCTGGAAGTCACCAATATTTAGACCGAAATTATATGCGTGGTATAAAGCATTAAAAGTTAGTCTTTATAGCGAGAAAACTCATTGGAGTATAAAATAAAAGGAAATGGCACCAAAAAAAATATTTTTTATAAGAGTGGTCAAGAAAAATTCACCAAAGAGGTGCAATTCAATATAAAATCAAAAATAACCACTTCATGCTCAATATTTTTTTTGTTGTCGCTTAGACTTAAGACGCCGCACGGAATGAACCATGAAGCGATTATTGCTCTAAAAAATCCCAGTCGAGGGCAATATATGTACACTTGTGCTCACACAATTAAACCACATAAACGTTATGGTGTACAAATTCATAAAAGTTGAATTTTATTGATAAATCGAAAAAAAAAGTTTCACAAAATTAAAAGAAAGTACTTAAACTTTATTGTACTTATAGTTTTTTAAAGGTAAATTTTAATGTAAAAGCAAAAATCTGTTTTCTTC